AAAAAAATGAAGATAATAAATTAATATTTTTTTTCAACAAAAGATATCTAAAGTTGTCATCTATTTCCGGTTTCTAAATTTTTAAAAATAAATAACGCGAATACTACATACAACTTCACGGATGTTTAATTAACAAATCGTAAAAATAATATTTTTTCATCCTTGCGAAAAATTTTAAATAATATCGTTAAATTATTTAACTTATCATAACTAATATTATTATTATTATTACTCACTGATAATGATAAAAACAAAAAAAAAAAAAAATTCTTGATTTTGAATACGTCATCAAAGAAAAATTTCAAATCGATTATCACAGTAATAAAAACGTATAAATAACGTAAGTGAAAAAAACGACGTGGCAGGAGTAATTTTAATTATTTTTTTTTAAAATTCGCGCCAAATTTTTACACGTGGCTTATGATGATACGAACGCATACAATTTGTTTTTAAAACTATAAACGATTTCGAGAATCGATTTTTTTTCTTTCGATTATTTGCGGCCGTTAAATTTCTTACGAGAATCGAAATTTTTATGATGAGGTCACGATTTTATATATAAATAATGGCCGATCATGGTACAATTTTTTATTGTAAATTAATAATATAAAATAAATTAAAATGAGAGAGAGAGAGAGAGAGAAATTTATGTTAGAACGATAACGACAAAAAAAATATTTTTTACAAATAAATAAATAAATTATTACTTTGTTTTTGTTTGTTTAAATAAAAATTATTAGTTTTTTATTGTTTAAAATTCGTTCGCCGCATTCATTTAATTATAATTTAATTATTATTATTATTATTTTTTCCGCAACCTGTAATTTTAATTTTATGGTTTTTAAACCGAATAAAAAAAAAAAAATCGATTATAATCGATTATCGAAATGAAAAAAAAAATTATGAATGAATTTGAGTATGGAAGTTTAAGTGTTGTAGTATCAAAAAAAAAAAAAAAAACACGCGACGCACGTTAAATTGCATGAAAAATATATATTAACTCTCATTCGGAATGCATTATTTCCGTTTCTACCCTATTCAAAAGTAAGAGAAAAGAGATTTCTACAATTTTACGAATAATTATTATTATTATTATTAATTTTTTTCTTTCAGTTTAAAACCGACAGCAAAAGACGGTGTTACGAAAAGTAATCCGAGTAAAAGGCACAGGGAAAGGCTCAATGCTGAACTTGATACACTTGCAAGTCTTTTACCATTCGAACAAAATATTCTATCAAAATTAGACAGGTTATCAATATTAAGGTTATCAGTGAGTTATCTAAGAACCAAAAGCTACTTCCAGGGTAAGTAATAATTTTTTTTTTTTTTTTTTTAAATATCCTTAACGATTTCTCTCTCTCTGTGCATTTTAACCCTCTTCATTCTCCCTCCTCCTCTCCCGCCCGCACGCCCCCATTTCAATCATATTTTCCACTGATTTCCTCCTTCTCTTCCCTTTCCTTCTCCCATCCCCTCCTTCTAACCCTTCCTTTTCATTTCCTTTCTCTCCCTTTTTTTTTTTTTACATTTATACATATAATTCTATTCATTTGCATATGAAACCAGAATCATTTATTAAAAAAAAAAAAACAAAAAACAAAATGGCGGATTTATGTTTTTTTTTTATGTTTTACTATTTAATGCAAATATATATATTATTATTATTATTATTACGTTCGTAACGTTTCTTTTTTTTTTTTTAAGAGTAAAGAAATAAAATTATTTCGCGGGGGGTCGTAAAAGTTTTGAATTTTTTTTTTTTTTTGGGTTAATTTTTTCTAGAATAAAAAAAAAAGCAAAAAATTTGGAGAAAGAAAGAAAGAAAGAAAAATAAATTTAATTTATTATTATTATTATTATTATTATTATCATCCATAAAATCACCGAGAAAGTTTTAATAATAATAATAATATTTAAAATGTTTTTTTTTAAGAAAAGAAAAGAATCGATTGTTTTAATTAATTAACGGAAACGATAGAGAAGAAGAAGAAAAAAATTTTTTTTATTATGCGCATGCGTGAAATAGTTAATAAATAAATAAATAATAATAATAATTAATAAATAAATAATTTTATATTCATACGTATAATATTTGCATTAATAAAATTATTTATGCTAATTTATATATATTTATTATTCGAATAAATTATTTCTTTCTTTTTTTTTATGACTGCACTGCGTCCGATAAGGCAAACACGTGAAAATCCTCGAAATTTAATTAATCGATATATCGAACGATATTATCGAAAATTTAACGATAAGTCAAATAAAAATAAAAAATGATTAATTAATGAGTTGTCAGACATGTTAAAACTTTTCGGATTTTATTTTTTTTATATCATCACAAATAAAAAAAAAAAAAACAGATCATCGTTTAAAAAAAAAATAGTTAATAGAAATCTTTTATTGAATGACTGACTGAATGACTGACTGAATGAATGACTGACTGACTCTTTTAATAAATATAAAGAAATTCAATGACAACCATAATGACCTCACAGCTGGATTTATATGTTATGACGTAACACCAGGTGAAAATCACCTCGATTAATTTTCAGCGGGTGTTTTTTTTTTTTTTTTTTTTTCAAAACCATATTCTAATCATTTAACGGTAAGAATTTTCTCATAATCATCATCATCATCATCACCTACCGAACAGAATAATATATTTTTTTTGCCCCTTAAACAAAACATTAACAACAATTTAATTTATTATAGTTTGGATATTTTTCTACGGTTAAAAATGTTTTTTTACTATAAAAATCCTAAAATGTAGTAAAAAGCAAAAAACATTTTTTTTTTTTTTTTAAACGTCATATGTCGATGTAATTATAAAAACATAATTTTCAAAAAAAAATTAGGGTGAAAACTTAACAGAATTTCGGTTTGTCTTTTCCCTTCCCTTCCCCTCCCATTTTTTTAATGCAAATTTTTTAACAACAAAAAAATTTATAAACAAAAATATAAAAATAAAATGAATGACATTTTTGATTTAACTGATACCTCTTATCACATACCCTTCGCCATTAATAATAAAGAGAGAGAGAGAGAGAGAGAAAGATATATAAAATTTTTTTTAATCATTTTTAACGTTAATTACGACCAGTAAAATTTTATTATTATTATTATTTTAAACGTAAATTTTTTTTTTTTTTCGTACTTATTAAAAAAACATTTTTTAAAACTAATTCATCATTTTTTAAATTACATAACGGAAAGTTTAAAAATTTTTTTGTTAAGATAACGTGGAAAAAGATAGAAATTTAAATAAATTTATTTGTTGTTAACATGGCTGCCCCTTATCAAATTTGCCGTTACAATCCAAATAATTAATTTTTTTTCTCTACTATACGATAGAAATAATTCAAATAGTTTATATAAAAAGGGTTAAACCCCGCGTGTTGTCTCTCTCTCTCTCTCTCTCTCTCTCGCATGAGGATTTAAATATATTCGCGTGTTTTGGTAAAGGAAAGACAACAAATACACACCACACACGTGATATAAAGTAAAAAATTTCGTACGACGATGATTCGAGTGCAACAAAGTTAAAAATCGGAAAAGAAAGAATAAACAGGATTTATATATGTATAAAGGGAGCCCCTCAGTGAAAAATACCTGTCAACGGTGGGGGATGATTTACGAGTATCGGGTTGTCGTAGTCGGGAGAAAACTGTTTGGTTCATATATGGCCCGTGAATTTCCTTTTTAAAAGTCATTTATTATCGCCACGTGAGTTTCAAATCAAAATTTTGCCTTCACCCTTTTTTTTTTTTCTATTAAATACCATAGGGATATTACAAAATCATAAAATTGTTTCTATCTCTCTCCCTTTCCCCTCCCCTCACCCCCTCACCCTCTCTCTCTCTCGTTTGAAATTAATAAACTTTTTCGTTGTTGTTGTTCTTGTTTGTTGCCAAAAAAAATCGCAAATATCGATTCGATAAAAATTTATCTCAAATAAATAATAAAATTATTAATAATGTTTTCTTTATGTCTTTTCTACGTCGGTGACGTCACCTAAAAAATCGTCATCGGTCGTATTCAAATAATAATAATAATAATAATAAATTTTTCCTTTGTGTAAATAAATTATTTTTTTTCTTTTCTTTAAAAAAAAAATTAATAATGATAATAATGGAGAAAAACAATTTTTTTTTTATTCAAGTCGCGATTTCCTGGACATTTTTCACAACAAAAAAAATGATAATAATGATAATAATAATAATAATAATAATAAAAGAAAACACACGACAATTTTAATTTTTTTTTTTTTGTCAATTCTCACGATTTAATAATTCAATGAAAACAAGAAGTTTAATAGAAAAATTGTTTGTATTGTTTGTTCGGCATCTTGTCTGTTATAAAAAAATATTAACCGTTAAATTGTTGTTGTTTGTTCGTTTGTTTGTTTATTTAATTTACATAAATAGGTAATTTTATGGCCCTTTGATTTGATTTGATTTTTAATTTACTTAATTTTATTTCCCGCGGTACCTCCTCCATTTTCCTCCTCAAAAAAAAATTTTTTATTTATTTAAATAATAATAATAATGATAATGTTTTTATTTAAATGAATTATTTAAAGAGAAAATATTCGAATAAAAATGCAAAAAAAAAAAACGTAATAAATAAACGACCTTTAAGTAAATAATTTTAACGTTTTTTTTTTTTAATTGCCATATTTTGAAATCTCTTATTTTAATTTTTTTTTTTTTTTTTTTATAAGTTCAAGAACGAGTAAGTAAAGTAAAAAAAAAAAAAAAAAAGTATAAAGGTCAAATGTCGTACAAATAATCATAATCCGAAATGTTATTAAAATAATAATAATAATAATAAAATATTTTTATCTCGCCATCGTAATTAAAAAAAATTTCTTTTTTTCTTTTCTGCTTAATTTAAATCGTTTTTTTTATTTTGTGACGTTTAAAAAAAAAAAACGTGGCATTAGAATTCTATAGTGGTAGTAGTAATACGGAATAATATTATTATTTTAAAAAAATACGAGAGACGATTTTTCAAAACACAAAAAAATTCAATTATAAGTAAAAGAAAACAAAACACAAACATAAAATTATTATTATTATTAATATTTTAAAACGGAAACCAATCGATAAATTTCATTCCTATTATAAATCATGTTTTCAAATAAAAAGAATAACGTAACGCATTAAAATTAGCGCATCCTTATTATTATTATTATTTTAGTATAAATTCAATCAATTTTTTTAAATTGGTTGTTAGACATTAAAATTAAGTCAACATCTCATTAACGACGACGACGACGACGATGATCTTATGGTGGCCAATAAATTTTTTCTTTTCTTTTTTTTTTTACCTGATGTTTTTTTTTTTTTTTTTTAACTTAAGGGCTCCCACAAGATTTTTTTACTATCGTCATCGTTATCATTATTATTATTTTTAAAAACAACACCAACAACAACAATTCCACTTCGTTAATTTTAAATGGTGGTCGAATGACTTAATGGTGATACTAAAAATTTTTTTTTTAATTAAATTCGGCGAGAAATAAATACGGTGGACACGGAGTGGTAGTAGTAGTAGTGGTTGTAGTCGTAGTCGTAGTAGTAGTAGTAGTAGTAGAATTATTTAAATTGTGTGGCATTAAACTACTACGGTGCCACCCCCCGTTTCGTACGAACCAATAAATTTAACTTTTTTTTTTTTTAAAAAATTTTCAATGTCAAATAAATAATATGAATTATTTTATCTGCGGGTAGTCTTACAAGTGAACAAACAAACAAACAAACATGCCACAATTTACGATTTATTCTTTTCGTCCTTTGATCAAAACCGCTTTTGAAAAATTTTTTATATAGCTACAAACGCATCGATATTTAAACAAATTGTTATCATTTTACGTATTTCTTATCAACAATAAGAACAACCGAGAAACAAACAAACAAAAACAAAAAAAGTTTAATAAGTAGCAGCAGACGTTTGTTTATTTAAAAAAAAAAAAAATTTTCATCTGTCGCGGTTATAATAAAACGGCGTGAAACATAAATTTAACACAAGTTTAATAATAATAATAATAATAATAATAATAATAATAATAATGATTATGATGATGATGATAATAATAATAATAAATAAAGAAAATAATTTATCGAGTCATTTATTAATTAATTGCAAAATAAAAATTTTTTTTTTTTTTTTTAGCAAAACATCTGCTTAATAAAAAATATCCATATTAAAAAAAAAAACAAAACAAAATTTATTATTATTATTATTTAAATATCTTTTATTACATTAATTTAATTACGTTTCCTTTGTTTTAATTATG